TCCGATAATTCTTAGTAAAGCCGTGATTTTCCCTTGGGGAGAGGCCTGTTCGAGGAAATAATGGATACGTCACCGTCGAGCGAACCGATTTTAGAATTGTTAATTTCGGAGTGAAGAGAAAACAGCGGAAATCGTGAAATATCGAAAAATACTGCTACGTATTTCTGATAAGCATACAATGTTTATGAATACCAGGAAAATGTAATTTGATCATTTCTATATAATCGTTTGTGATAACGCTGGAGTGGAAAATTCCGTTGCTGTTTCAATCCAGACAACGAAACGAATGTTTAAAGTTCGTGTGTTTTACAAACAATTCGCTTTGCGAAACGCGGAAGAGAATACAGAACGATGTACGTATTTTCTTTTTGTTTTTGTAACAATAGCACTTCAAATTACATGCTAAGTACACGTTCAAGTATATGTATAGGACTGTTTCTCAATACCTAATTATTTTTTCTATGTAACCACTGTCACCGCAGATTTCTCAATTGTACATTTATGTCCTCCCCTCAATAAGAATAGTTTAAACGAATTTTCCAAGTATCTCGCGCGAATCGATGAGATTAGGAAGCAGATCCGTTAATTGAACATTGGATTGGGAAAGCGCTAAGCGCAAATTGGATCGCCTCCCTCTATCCGCTGATTACTTATCGTGAATATCGATTATATTCGTAATGGTATACATACATACATATAATGGCGTGTGCTGTGCCATCGAAGTCAAGACAAAACATGATAAAATAATGAATTTTCCAGTAAATAATAAAAAGAAAATAAAAGTTTTACTGTTTGAATAAAACTGCATTTATAGAATTTCAATAAAATGACATAAACATACCATTTCTAAAACACTGTTCCAGATAGATAGTAATTCTTAACATTTTATAATTTAGTTAGGGACTAGGGAACATCGCTATCCGCGTTGTACCTGTACTGTTTCTTTGTCCCGCGTAGGAGAGTCATAGGTTTTCGATTGCAAGAAATCGTCACACGACGATACATAGAGTCAGTAATGAATACGCATTAAATACACATTAGGGAGGTTACTTATACTCTTCAGACGAGATTCTTACGAATAAACACGATATAAAGATCGATTAAGACGAATGATTAATTCGTGAAATATCTTGATCCATTCGGTCAACAATTATTTAAAGACACTTGCCCTCTACAAATAAATTGTATTTCATAATAAATTATTGTTACGTAGCCGTTTTAAACAAATACGTAAGCTCAATGATTTTGGATGACACATCTTCAGTTCCTCCGATGCTTTTTCTTAACATCTGGTCAAAACTGGTCAAGTTAAGGTGCAACGACGGCCGCACAGGGACCCGCGACCGTTATTACACGTCTTAGTCCCAGTAAAGGTGCGAGGGAGGACAGGACAGGAGAAGAAGAAACACATGTTTCGTATTAGATCTTTTCTACCTGTTGGACCCTGGGCGCATAGAAAGTGTTTAACGAAGAATACCACGGTGTTGAACCCAAGCTAGGCAACGTCCGAAGAGAAACACGTGTTGTTACTTCGGCTAAGGCCGTGGACATTGTGTCCGTACCGGGACGGCAACTAAGCAAAACCGACAGGTTCTTCCTACCTTTCGGAATATATTGCCAACACATGTTTCCGATTTGGAGGTGCACTTGGCAAAAAGGTAGATAGTAAGGTGGTTATACAGACCCTAGTCGTAAAAGGCAGGTTCCAGCCTGTCATTCAGCGCGGTCCTCTTCCTGGTTTTTGCCCCGAAGGACAAATTCGCACACTTGACTGAGAGAAATGAGAAACGTGACGAAAATTATTTTCCATCAAGGAATTTGTTATATTTTTTTTACAGAGCCTCGGAAATGTGAACTACAGTTGATTAAAATACAATTGTTGAACTATTGCGTTGTTTACGCATTATAATAAAGTTATATTACTAATAAGATGGGTACAGTTTTTCGCTTTCCTTTCGCTTGCCCTGCGCCTGTTTTACACTCTCCTGTTCTACTCTTTCGCCACTACTGATTTATACTAATTGCGTACATCGCTCAGCACAATCACGCAGAGATCCCACTCATTTTGTTTCTCAGACAGCTCAGTTCAGTGAGCTGTAATAAACTCATGAAGGATGTATTGGCTATACAGTCAATCCCAAAAGTTTATGCACTTTAGAAATGCATTTTTTAAAAAGAAATCAGACGTCGGAAGAACATTGGTAATAATAAACAACAAAAAAAAATTTTCGATTTTTCCGAGATTTTTCTAAGAGGTACCCCTTCAATTTCTTCCAAATTTTCGTTTTT